TCCTGTAGGAAAAAAGTATCCTGGACAGGAGAAAAACATTCTGAGGTCAATTATTTATTTATTTATTATTTAATCATTCATTTATTTACTTATTTATTAAATTTTATTAATAGGCAATTTTCGAGTTGCCTTTTGCCTCTGTGTGTTATTTTACTTTACTTTATTTTATGTTATTTTATGTTATTTTACTTTATTTTATTTCATTTTATTTTTTTTATTATTTTATTTTATGTTATTTTATTTTATTTTATTTTATTTTTTATTATTATCTTTTTTTAATTTTTGACAGCATTTGGTCTTGAATGCTATGCGTGTACCAACCAGCCAGGACTTCCTGGAGGAAACAGTTGTGAAAGGGACAAAGCTGAGAATATTACTTGCGATACGTTAGGGTTACTCGATAGATGCATAACAGTGAAATACACCACGTCTCTTGGACAATTGGGCTCGAGGTCACTCGAGCTAAGGAACTGTTCCAACAACATTTCGTGTGACCCGAACAGTCAGTTCTATAGTAAGTGCAAAAATAGTTACTATTTGGTTAGCCTGCGAACAGGCTCCCGGCGAGGACGGTGAAAACTTCGGCGAGCAAAGCGAGCCGAGAAGCGCAAGAACGGTTATTATTTAGTCACAAACGGCACGGTTAACCGTTTTTTACATTATCAACTTTTCATAAGCATGATAAGACGCAACTTTTGGTAAAGTTTAAAAAAATTCTGAATGTAGGGTTCAGAGCCACCTTACATTTTCAAAAATTTTCATTATTTTTCATTATCTTGCAAATCAAATTCATTTCCATATGAAGGGTTGTGCACCAGGACTCATTTTTGAAACAGAGCGGAAAAGCAACTCAGAGGTGGCTTATTGAAAATCTTTCGTTCTTCTAATTACAGTCTGCAAACTGGTCAACCAGACGGGAAACTTGACCAATTGTTCAGCTGACTGTTGTGACGGCGACCTGTGTAACAAGATCCCAGAGACAACAGCAAAACCCCAGCCACCAGGTAAGGCCTTTGGATTGGTTGCAAGCTATGGAGCCATTTTGTTTGTTTTTGTCCTGAACATGTTTGCTTAATCGTGTGTCCATCTTCTGTTTTGTGAATTCATTAAAAGTCCGTTTCTTCAAAAATTTATACAATTTTTTTCCTTTTGAGTTTGGATGTATTTGTTTACCTGTATAAGAAATGCCAGTTTTCATTTTCAATAAAAATTTAAAATCTTTCGAGTTTCAACTTGCCATAAATTTTGTTAAGAATTAATACCTGCTTCCTTCCTCATATGAAAATGTGTAACGCCTACAGGTTCATTTTCATGCAAATCAAACTCATTTTCATTTATGAAAGATTTTGCACGAAGACTCGTTTTAAAACAGAAGCACAAGGTAACTCGGAAATGGCCTATTTATTTTATTTTCTATCATTATTGTTTTTCTTATTTTTGACAGCTCTTGAATGCTATGCGTGTACTAACCAGCCAGAACTTATTGGAGGAGCCAAGTGTGAAAGCGACAAAGCTGAAAAGATTACCTGCGATCCGTTATTGTTCAATAGATGCATGACAGTGAAATACACCATGTATCTTGGACAATTGGGCTCGAGGTCAGTCGAGCAAAGGANCCTCTGTTTCAAACCGAGTCTTGGTGCACAACCTTTCATGTTCAAATAAGTTTTTCTTGCACGTTCATTATCTTGTAAATCAAACTCATTTCCATATGAAAGGTTGTGCACCAGGACTCGTTTTTGAAACGGAGGGGAAAATGCAACTCAGCAATGGCTAAATGAAAATCTTTCGTTCTTCTTGTTTCAGTCTGCAAACTGGTCAACTCGACAGGAATGTTGACCAACTGTTCACTTGACTGTTGTGAAGGCGACCTGTGTAACAAGATCCCAGAGACAACAGCAAAACCCGAACCACAAGGTTAGGCCTTTGGATTGGTTGCAAGCCGTTTTGTTTGTTTTTGTCCCGAACATGTTTGCTTAACCCTGAATCCATCTTTTCTTTTGTTACTTAAAAGTCCGTTTCTTCAAAAGTTTAAACAAATGTTTTCCGTTTGAGTTTGGATGCATTTGTTTATCTGTCGAGTTTCAACTTGCCATAAATTTTGTCAAGAATTAATACCTGCTTCCTTCAGTCTTTTTCCCAAGAGGCTAAATTGGTCACTATTTTTTCACTTTGCAGTAATCCCTCTAGAAGGAAAATCGAAGCGTTATAGAGCCTCAAAGTATCGTGGCCAGAATAAAACATTCGACAATCAGTAACATTCATTACATTTTTTATTTTCTTATTTTCGAGTTGCCTTTTGCCTCTGTGTCAAAACGAGTCTTCCGCGAAACCATTCATATGAAAATGTGCAACGCCTACAGGTTCATTTTCATGCAAATCAAACTCATTTTCATTTATGAAAGAGTTTGCACGAAGACTCGTTTTAAAACAGAAGCACAAGGTAACTCGGAAATGGCCTATTTATTTCATTTTCTATCATTATTTTTTTCTTATTTTTGACAGCTCTTGAATGCTATGCGTGTACCAACCAGCCAGAACTTATTGGAGGAGCCATGTGTGAAAGCGACAAAGCTGAAAAGATTACCTGCGATCCGTTATTGTTCAATAGATGCGTGACAGTGAAATACACCATGTATCTTGGACAATTGGGCTCGAGGTCAGTCGAGCAAAGGAACTGTTCCAACAGCGCTTCGTGTGACTCGAACAGTCAGTTCAATAGTAAGTGCAAGAATAGTTACTATTTAGTTCTTCGGGGAGGACGGTGAGAAATTGGACGAGCAAAGCGAGCCAAAGAGCGCGAAAGTGCAGGATTCGGAGAACGAAGCAATCAGGGTGGCGCGCTCGCCCGGCGCTTGTTCGCTAGCTATTGTTTAGTCGAATATGCTTGATGATNGAGCAAAGGAACTGTTCCAACAGCGCTTCGTGTGACTCGAACAGTCAGTTCAATAGTAAGTGCAAGAATATTTACCATTTAGTTCTTCGGCGAGGACGGTGAGAAATTCGACGAGCAAAGCGAGCCAAAGAGGGCGAAAGTGCAGGATTCGGAGAACGAAGCAATCAGGGTGGCGCGCTCGCCCGGAGCCTGTTCGCAGGCTATTATTTAGTCGATTATGCTTGATGATGTTTCTCATGAAGGCATTACCCTTAAGGTAAAGGTCACGATTTGCGCATCTTGAAAAGTTGAGCCTAAATTTTTCAAGTTCCTCGTTTATAATGCGTGTTAATCTCCCAGAGGGGAGTACTTCCTTATATGGGCTATATACCTGTCGGTATGTGCGGCTTTTTCAGCCGTTTTGATCATAAATAGGGTATGATTTTTGCACTCTAGTCCTGAATTGGATAGAATAACCTACTTTTTCATCATTATCGACAAGACCATCAACAAAAGCCCGTTATAAAATTATGTTTAGGGCAACTGAGCCATCCGCAACGGTCATGAATAAGGTATTGGTCAGGTTATAAATAGGGAAGGGAAAATCGCAAATTTTGGTCATTAATAGGGTAAGGGTTTTGGGAAGCAGGCCGCACACCCTCACCCAATTTTCCTGGGTGTACCACCCCGTGGATCTTCCGGGTTAATCTTCTCCATCATTAGCCATCCTTGTTACTTTATGGTTTATTATAATCTCTTATGTGTTTTTCTCTCTTGGTAAACTACTATATTCAATTTCCTTTAATTTAAAGCTGATAGGTGGTCAAAATAATTTAAAATTCCGTGACTGAGCTTCTTTAAATTGCCGTGCCTACTAGCTATAACTTGGATCAACTTTTTGCCTTACTTGAGTTTTCAAACTTAACCTTGATTGTTGAATTGGGGCAAAAGAGTCAGGAGATGGAAAGGTGGAGCACAGCATAGTCATAACTGAAAATCTTCCTTTTTTTTATTATAGCATGCAAACTGGTCAACTCGACGGGCATGCTGACTGACTGTTCACTTGACTGTTGTGAAGGCAAACTGTGTAACAAGGTTCCGGAGCCAACAACAAAATCCCAACCAACAAGTGAGGCCTTTGGATTGGTTGCAAGCTTTGGAGCCATTTTGTTTAGTTTTGTCCTGAACGTGTGTGCTTAACCCTGTATCCATCTTTTGTTTCGTTACTTTATTAAAAGTCCGATTTTTAAAACGTTTAAAAAATGTTTTCCGTTTGAGTTTAAATCTATTTGTCTACCTGCATAAGAAATACCAGTTTTCATTTTTAACAAAACAAAAATAGAATCTGTCGGGTTTCAACTTGCCATGAATTTTTTGTTAAGAATTAATACTTGCTTCCTTCATTCTTTTACCCAAAAGGCTAAATTGGTCATATTACTGANCGTGTTAATCTCCCAGAGGGGAGTACTTCCTTATATGGGCTATATACCTGTAGGTATGTGCGGCTTTTTCAGCCGTTTTGATCATAAATAGGGTATGATTTTTGCCCTCTAGTCCTGAATTGGATAGAATAACCTACTTTTTCATCATTATCGACAAGACCATCAACAAAAGTCCTTTATAAAATTATGTTTAGGGCAACTGAGCCAGCCACAACGGTCATAAATAAGGTATCAAATTTTTGGTCAGGTTTTAGATAGGGAGCGGAAAATCGCAAATTTTGGTCATCAATAGGGTAAGGGTTTTGGGAAGCAGGCCGCACACCCTCACCCAATTTTCCTGGGTGTACCACCCCTGTGGATCTTCCGGCATCTTCTCCATCATTAGCCATCCTTGTTACTTTATGGTTTATTATAATCTCTTATGTGTTTTTCTCTCTTGGTAAACTACAATTATCAATTTCCTTTAATTTAAAGCTGATAGTTGGTCAAAATAATTTAAAATTCCGTGACTGAGCTGCTTTAAATTGCCGTGCCTAGCTATAACTTGGATCAACTTTTTGCCTGCCTTACTTGAGTTTTCAAACTTAACCTTGATTGTTGAATTGGGGTGAAAAAGCCAGGAGATGGAAAGGTGGAGNTGCCCTCTAGTCCTGAATTGGATAGAATAACCTACTTTTTCATCATTATCGACAAGACCATCAACAAAAGCCCTTTATAAAATTATGTTTAGGGCAACTGAGCCAGCCGCAACGGTCATGAATAAGGTATCAAATTTTTGGTCAGGTTATAAATACGGAAGGGAAAATCGCAAATTTTGGTCATTAATAGGGTAAGGGTTTTGGGAAGCAGGCCGCACACCCTCACCCAATTTTCCTGGGTGTACCACCCCCATGGATCTCCCGGGTTAATCTTCTCCATCATTAGCCATCCTTGTTACTTTATGTTTTATTATAATCTCTTATGTGTTTTTCTCTCTTGGTAAACTACTATTATCAATTTCCTTTAATTTAAAGCTGATAGGTGGTCAAAATAATTTAAAATTCTGTGACTGAGCTTCTTTAAATTGCCGTGCCTAGCTATAACTTGGATCAACTTTTTGCCTGCCTTACTTGAGTTTTCAAACTTAACCTTGATTGTTGAATTGGGGTGAAAGTGTCAGGAGATAGAAAGGTGGAGCACAAGACACTCGTAATTGAAAATCTTCCTTTCTTTTTATTACAGCATGCAAACTGGTCAACTCGACGGGCATGGTGACCGAT